CCCCCGGTTCCTTCCCCGGAGGGGGCCGCGGATCCCGGGCCCCCACCTTCGCCCCCTGGAAAGCGTGTCTGTGGGACTCCCGTGGAAGTCCCGCACAAGTTTTGCTGCCCCCCCTTCCCCCCTGCTCCAACCCCTTTCCCCTCCCTTTTCTCCCCGGTTCCGCTCCAGCAGGAAGGCTGCTCCGCCGGGAGAGCGCCCGGCCACGGCAGCCCCGCAGCGGGCACGGCCGGCCCGGGGGGGGCAGCCCTTCTCTGGCTGCTTCCCTCCCTCCTTCCTTCCTTTCCCCCCTTTTTCCCTCTTCCCGGGCCATCCCCAGCAGCAGGGAGGCGAAACTCCCCTTCCCTTATTACTCCTGTCCCAATTGGGGTCGGTTCGAGGGGAAAAGGGTGCTCTGGTCGAGCAGAGTTAGGGTTGGTGTGGGTATTTTTTTTTTTTTCTCTCATTCTTTTTTTAATTTTTTTTTTTTTCCCCTGCAAGTTCTCACAGCCATGCTGCAGGCTGCCAGGAAGGGTGAGCTATTCCGGTTGTGGTTTAACTACCTGTTGGGGAGACTTTTCCAATCTCCGGCAGCACCATAGTCTTTTCTCAGCAGAGCCATAAACTGTTTTTTTTTCTTTTTTTAAAAAAAAAAAGTTAACAAAAGTGCTATCCGTGTCAGACAATACTTTCTATACTGTCTCATCATTTAGTATTGCGTTGCTCTATGCAAAAAAAAAAAAAAAAGAAATATTTAGCGTTTCCTTTTCATATACAAATATAACTAAAGTAATATACACGTGTTTGGTCTTTTTTAAACTTCAGGCAGCCTTGAGTTAAAATTAACTCTATATTTTAAAGTTTTAGCAGAGAGGCTGTTTTTATAAATACAGTCATAGAATAATAGAATGGTTTGGATTGGAAGGCCACCTAGTTCACCCCCCTCCTGCCATGAGCTGGGACATCTTCAACTTGCCCAGACCCCCGTCCAACCTGACCTGGAATGTGTCCAGGGATGGGGCATCTCCTACCTCTCTGGGCAACCTGGGCCACTGTTTTACCACCCTAATCTCATTGTAAAACGGTGTGTTCCTTATATTTAGTCTAAATCTTCCCTCTTTTACTTTAAAACCATTACTCGTCCTAAATAATAACTGCTTTGCTGCTCAACCAGTTTAAAATGTAGTTAATTAGGTAGTGTTTGGAGGAAAAAAAAAAGAAACTGCAGTTAGTTTTTATTATACTTATCCATCCATTAGGTTAATCGGGATTCCTGCAGTGCTGGTAATAGAAAGAATTTTGCACCAGAGGCAGACCATTTCTGTGTATATACTGTGTGAAATATAAGGTCAGATAATGATACATACAGTTTGTGTAATTAGTAAGCAGTCTAAACTAAACCTTTGGATTTAACTGTAGAAAATCTGCAGGTTTATGTAAAGCACTTACAAAAGCCTGTATTAAAACAGAAAATCGCCCTCAAGCAGGTACCTTGCTCTCCCCAAAATCAAATTGCTTCAAAGGCTTAAATTGCTTTCATTGGTATCTAGAAATACGTTGTTCCTCAAGTTACAGTGAGTCTAGTTGATAATTTGGGCTTTCGAGGTGCAGGGTGGCAAATGTATTCAAGGTATAGGTCAGAATGTTAATCTGAAACCCGTCAAAATTGGGGGTCTCTTTTGTGTTCTAACTCCACTGTCAGAGAATTAACTTCTGCACTGTTTCAGGTACTTCCAAGATTTTAGGAGCCATTGTAATGCTACAATTCTAATTATTTTAATCAGCCATGTTATATTTTTTAATTGTACAAGGAGGACATAAAATGTAACATTATAGGTTTTATTTTAAATTAATCTCTCAAACTTTGACAGGCTTCCTGGTAATCCTTTATTCTTTTAATTTCTGGACTTCTGTGGGAGTTTGTAAACGTTAAGGCCTTGTTTTCTGAAGGCAGTTTTTGAATAGTGTTAAACTTGTAGACTTCCCCAAAGACCTAGAAATAGGATTAGGCAGATTTGACAAAGGATAAGGAGGGAAATGGAAGCACATAAAAGCAAAGTTACTTCTTCAGTGTTGTCTGCCAAGCTGGTGAGATACAGAATTATGCTCTTCAGGTTTTCTGTCTGAAAGATCAGACTGCTGCTTCTCTTAGACCTAGCCAAGTTCCTCAGAGAACTGAGGAAAAAGCCAAAAAACCAAGCTTTTTAGAAAGTGGGGTAATTGTTTATGAATAATCACCTGTTCGATTCTAAATAATTGTTAGCACATCTACAATTCTCAGTGGCTTTTGCAGTCAGAGTGTTGTCTTGCGAGTCATGTGGAAGCATGATTGTTAACTTTCATGAAAGAGGATGTTAGATTTCTGACAAGCAGTACATGCTTATTTTATTTTGGTTGACGAAGCTACTTATGCAGAGAGAAGGGACATTGGATTTTTTGCAGGACCAGGGCATAGCTCAGTAGTTAAAGGCTCTTAAATTTGATTCAGAAGTTCATACCTCCATATATTTAACCTTTTTCTTTATAATTTTGTCCTTGTGTGACTTGTCCATTAAAAAATATAAGTTGGCTGATTAAAATAATTAGAAGCCTTTTTCCCTTTCATTCATCTCTTATCTATTCTGTACAGCATTAGTTCTTACCATTCTGAGCTAAGCCACTTAAATTGGCCATATGTCGACAGTAAATTGTATCCTTTCAGTCCTGCTGTTTTAGTTTGGAAGCGCCCTTTCTTTGTAGTCAGACCACCTGCTTCCACAGAGTTGAACTCTTGATTTATTACCAGAAACAAAGATCAATATTATCTATCATCTTACTGAAGGAAAGATCCAATATAAGTCTTTAAGAGCAGTAATCGA